TGATAAACCTCAGTTAAAAAACATTTTTGCCTTCACGCGTCAGATTAAGTGATTTTTAAAAATAAAACGTCTCGACTGTGAAACAGACACTCACCTGCTCTGAGATCAGTTTGGATCCAGTTCAGCAGAAAGAACACAAACAACCTTCATTCACCACTAATTTAACTTTATTTTACTTTAAATTAAACATTAAATTAACTCTGACTCAACGTGGATTCAAAGTTCATTCAAACTTTCCTCTGTGAGAACAACGTGTCTGAAGTCTGAACACGAGCTCGACGCTCAGTTCCGTGATTTACCTGAACAGGTGCTTCCGTGTTGGACTCAACCTCCTGCTCTGATTGGTCAGACAGTGGCCGGAAGTAAGGCGATGAGGGGGCTGCAGCACCTCCTACTGGCAAGGGGATGTAACTGCGAGGGAATAATAATTATAATAATATAATAATAAAAACGAGTTTGCTGTCTGATGTTTCTGATTTTCTAAATCCTTTGTTAATTGTTAATAATCAAACTTCACCACAGTAAAAAATAAAAATCAGTAAAAGTGTGAAACAACGTGTTCTGTTTGTTCAGTTCACATGAGCCCAGATGTTTCTAAAAATATAAAATCCAAATGTTGAAATCACATGATGCATTCAAGGCCCAGCATGTTTTTATTATCAGACCAGTCACGTAATGGTGCCTTCACTGACCTCTGTTCTTCTTGGATTGTAGAGACACCACCACCGAGCAGAGATGTTCAGCTTCTATCTCATCTGGTTCTTCTCGTGACTCTCCTCCTCTGAGTGTTTCTTCTTCCCAGGAAACACTTGATTGTGGTTTTGTCCAGTTGATGGTTTCAGGAGTTGAACATTCACAAATGAAAACGATGTTTTCTCTGAATTCTCCCACAATGAGAATAAGATGTCGACTTCTCAAATACAAATAAAATAAGTTCTTCTTCATTGTCATCACTTCTCTCTCATGAGAATCATTCGATGACTGACACTCGTACGTCTCATTTCTCCACAGATCAGTTCATATCAATCTGATTATATTGTTTATTCCTGAGCCGCAGATTCAGTTTCTATAAAACTTAAAACACACAAACACACACTCACGTCTCCATGACCTCAGAGGACTTGCTTAATATTTACCCTTATCTTAACTTACAATTTAATGTCCTGAAAATGTGACTGTGAAAAGATTTAAGTCCCCACAACATGAGTGATACTTATAAAACACACAGAGGTTTGTGCAGCGTTCCTAGTTAGGACTTCACTTTGACTAATTTACCTTAACTAACGACCTTCAACCTTAACCAGATAATAACCTTTACCTTAAC